GCTAGATTGGTTTTCATTATCGGATAATATTTCAAAATTTTCATATTAGTTTTTATTGATATTTGTCAGATAAATGAAAATAACTTTAGAGATTGTAAGTTATTCAATCAAACGTCTATTATCACTCTGCTTCTTGTGCTTTCATATTGTAAATCTATCATAAATCGTAAGCTGCTACGAAATGTTTGAAGCTGAAGTCTTCAAACCTTCAAACCCCATCGTCTTGTTTCAGTAGATTGCATTAACATTTCAACTCAACCCACTACCGCATCGGGAGTTCTTAGAATGGTAAATTTTCAAGTATGCTCCTATCAATTTACCAAGCATGTATATTCGCTAATTTCTTTTTAATTTCCCTCAACGAAATTCACCTATCAGTGACCGAAATGATAAAAAAGGGTCTTATATGGAAAGATTCAGAACACCAATTCGATGAATGGAAGATTCTCTGTACCTTCTAAAAAAATAAAGCCAATAACAGTACGCATATGGTTACAACACTGATATCAAACCAACGGTTAACCTTGGAAATTCCTGTCTATAGTAAACACCCATCAAATAAGTGGACGTCAGCATTTGAATTCCCAAAGTAGCAAATAATTAGTGTGAATTCTGACTGATGAATGATTACTGAGGCTGTATATGCAGCAATATCTTAAATTTCTAGTATGTGGTTTGGGCATCCCCATTTACGTCGGACATCGTCAGTAAATATAAGGTTATTCCGTGAATAACGAAAAATACTTTAAAGTGTGCTCCAGTTCAGCGACTGTTTTTCCTTTGTAGCTACTTTTTAAATAATGTGATAACTTTACAAAGAAAAACTAATTGAAAGCGAAGACACTTCAAAACTGTCCGTTAACACTTGACAAACAAGTACCTAGGTTCCAATTTCATAAATTTCGAATAACAAAAAGATAGAGGTTTAAAATCTGTTTTTTCGTTAACCAGCAATACCTGAAGGTCACAAAAAGTATAGAAAGGAATATTAAAAAAAAATATCGAGAGAACAACAAGATTCTTCTATTTGAAAACACCAAGTTCAAATAACGTGGAATATTCTAGAACGAAGGAATGTAAACCAACACCAAAAACATAATTTTAGACGGTTGAAGTCTAAACATTTCAAATGATAGATACATCTGGTCTTGCTTTGAATCTAAATCAAAATTTTTCAGTTACATCAAATCATTTAGTTGAGTATTCAAATAATAGACAATTATCAGCGAACTTCAAAGAAGACTTTTCGATTTATGATGAGAAAAAAGAGCAAATAGAAATATCTTCGAAACCGGTCTTAGGTCTCAACACATTTTTTCGCCTACGTTGGAATCTAAAGAAATTTCCCAAGAAAAATGATCGTCCTTAGTAGATAAGCAACACAGTGTAGATCTCCTGTGACGCGTTTAAGAAAGAGGTCCCTCCCATAGCTACAAGGTACTGAAAAAATATGTTTAAAATATGTTTTTCCCTAAACCAGCTGTCGCACTCCTACGAATGACAACCCTCAGAAGTCGAAACTTGTGCGAGCTAAGGACTAACGAGGTCTTACCTCCTTCCTAACATGAGTTGGACTATATCAAGTGAAAATCGATCGTTCAGCTTGCGGCTTGAAGTACCGACTCACACAGCGGTCAACTGAATGAGTGAACAGAGCACCCACGTCGAACCCACCAGCTACCAATCTACCTAACTGTTTGTGGACCATCTTCTGGAATATTCTCTACGGCAGCCACAATGCCATACTGAAGAGATTCCAGTTGATTGGTTGATATTGAGATTGTTGGATGTTCAAGGTGCAAGATTCCACCTCAAAGACCGCAGCCACCTTTCCATGTGAGGACACCTAAAAGTCAGCTATACATATTCAGCCATGAGCAGAGGGTTCATCCCTGGTTTGAGTGAATCATCGTTTGACTGTGAGCGTACGGCAGATTCATAACATATCCTGCTTTTGAGAAGGCGCTTTCTGGATACCCCTCAACCCCTGTTTATTAACAGGATCAAGAGTTGGGTGCTGGAAAGTTGTTGCTCTTGATCCGATGTTGCAGATAGAACAGTTTTTGTCGTTTAGTCGGTGTCCATCTCATGTGTAGACGCAGAATAAGATTCCTTAGTCACTTCATGATCCATAGAGGGTCCCACAAGTAGCTAGAGGAAAGAGGTCCATCACGGCAGGACCCCGCATTTCTGTGTCATGAATCCTTACGGTATGGATATACTTATTATGAGGCCGTCATTTAGGACACTCGACGATTGAACCTCACCCAACGGAGGTATTATAAAGCCAATCGCTGCAGGGCGACCAGAAATATATACTATAAATATAATTTATTAGTTTTAAATTTTCAGGAAACCTAAGATTTCAAAACTGTTTGTTCTGGTGCCTGGGATTAGAAGAAACTCACTAAGAACATCCAGTGTTCATCAGATTTCAGAGACTAGACAAGTCAAGTGTCACTTAGCACGCCTAAGAATAGAAAGCAGCTACAGAATAATTAGACACTACTTGAACTTTCTGAGGCTGGTACGTAATACTGGACTTTTGAGTGTTTTCGAATGTCTGAAAAATGCAAAGTGAGGCAACTATAAAAAGTTACGAAAGTTCTATTTCGAACAGCTCATTGTTGACTCTCATGTGGAAAATTCTATGCCGGGAAATTTCGTGCTAATTTGTTCTGAATAAATTACTGCTGCATAACTATAAGATCGGGAGTTCACCACTCAAAAATAAATAAAAGTAACTGATATTTAGTATTGTTTATCTCCTAATGACGTCAGCTTAGTAATTTTTGGTACATGGGAGCAGTTTTTTAGTTTCATTCTACGCGAGAGGTATCAGTTTCCTATTTCAGTAAGGAAGGGTAATATTGTGTTTCGTGACTGTCCTTCCCCATTGAAGTTTATATACTTTCTTTAGCAGTTCTCAACAAATCTATCAGGCGAGTTGTAATTTCAAAAATATTACATGTATTAAATCAGTTATGGTTTACTTGTGATACATCGTTTGGAAGCTTTGGTGTGTTAATGAATATTACTGGAGTTTTTTCCCAACATCAAACCGTTATTTAAACACCTCGACACGTGTTTCCATCACCAAGTGATCACCTTCAAGAGGAATATTGAACTGTTTAATCTTTCTCTTGAAGATGATCACTTGGTGATTGAAACACTTGTCGAGGTGTTAAAAATAACCTTTGGTGTAGTAATGAATATTACTGGAGTTTAATTCCAACACCAAACCGTTATTTTTAACACCTCGACAAGTGTTTCAATCATCAAGTGATCATCTACAAGAGGAAGATTCGATTAAGGTAACCGGTATGTTCACCTTTCCGGTTTATTCGAAAACAGCATTGGTTTTGTATTTTTAAATAATGATTTTTATGAAGTTTGTGCCTACTTCAATTTTTGAGAGTTACTTTTGTTACCTATTGCATCTAGGTAGCCATGAGTTTGTGGCAAGTTTACAAAATTATATTTTCGCCTCTAACTATAATTTTTCCAATGGCAACAATTAATAATTTTCATCAAGTAACGGGTCATTCCATTCATAATATTGATATCTGGGGAATGTCATTAAAATTTGGGAAATGCTGCTGAGTTGTATACATCTAAGTCAACAGTATGTCCGTATGTTGAAAATCATTATAGGCAAAAAATTGAGGGGCGGAACAGAGATTTATCATAAATGAAGAGACTAAGATTAACGTTCATCAACTCTGTTCTATTTTCCGATGAATCACAATTTCTAAATTATGGTATGTTCAATGAGCAAAATATTAAGTACAGGGCCCACCAAAATGAAAATGCAAAGAGAGAGGACAATGTTCAAGAAAGGTTTGGCGTTAATATTTGGGCTGCTATCGTTGGCATTGGAAACAGAATAATTTGGCAAATATTGTTTTCAAGGGTTTTTACCAGGAGACTAACTAAACTCCGATAACTGTCATAGATGAGTTCGAACATCCACTATGAATTAATGTAATTTTAAGTTATTCAAATTATGTATATTTCATTTTTGGCGTTCATACAATGTACATTTTTGGAGTTTTTATTTAGTCTGGCCTTTAAGTTAAGATTCGTGTTAAATGGACATACTTTTAGTAAATTAAGTGGTTAGGCTCATTCGATCCAGAATATTGTCTAGAAGTCTAGATCATTGTGAAAAAAAGTAAATTAGTTCATACAAAATTCTAAAAGTTATAAACAATTAAAGACCCTAGATAGTCTAGTTCACATGTACTTTTTTTTGTAACATTTTTCAGCCCTNTATATCATACATTTTTAAAAATTTTCTTTTTACTTCAAGTACCTTAAAAAAAATATTTTCAAGTTACGTACTCGCTTAGAGGCCATGCGCGCAACCTAAAAATGGCGCGCAGACGGCTATTTTCAGCGTTAAATTGAAATTATAAATAATGGAGATACCGTTTCGGGAGTCGGAACACGAATATAAACTTAAAGCCCAAGCTAATTATCTTTTCATGACACGAACTACCTTTCAAATGAAGTATCATAATTTGAAATACGAAACAGTTGTTTTTCCCGCAAGAGGGTGAAAAAATAAAACGTTACGGAGTGAACAGTCACATGAATGAATTCCTTATGAAATTATATTTCCTATTCAAATTCTAGGGGTGATGGCCACCAAGAGGCGGGGGAAGAGATATTACAATTAAGGTTATGAGAGAAAGATGTCCCACTTGAATTAAAAATGGACCTTTTTTGCATTTTCTTTCTCAATAATTCCTGTCCTGATACAGTTATTGATGAATGTGGACTACGAAATTCAAGGGTTACCCTATACTCTGACGATTTGAGGTCCTCGAGGACACTTTGAAAACATTATGCCCATAAAAAATTGTGAGTGGTTGGTGAGAGTGAAGTAACTTAGCATTTTCATTTAAATACAGTTCACTACATTATTCTCGCTATTGTTCAGGATCTATTGATAAACTGAATTGACAGGTATTGGAATACATTTTTGTTCAACTCACCTTCCTGAAAGTTGTCTTCTTCTTTCCAACGTGTAGGAAGAGGCATTTGCGTTTCTTCTAACGGATTTTCCACTTTACCAATGAATAATAAAGTTCCATTTGGTCCTTCAATGTAAAACAAGAAAGGGTGGGTTGCTATAAACTCTTCTTTGGCTTCACCAAATTTATTTCCAATATTGACATCTGCAAAAAGACAATAGGGCGAATATGAGAAACTTCTAACAATATCTATCTATGATAATATAATGAAATGAATGAAAAGTGTTTTGTTTGTTTGGACGCGTTAATCTGTTGAACCACAAGTGTATGAAAGCCACATTCATGAGGAAGGCTATATAGGCTGTCTAGCATTACGCTAGGATTCTCAGTTAGAAAAAAAATCCGGGTTGATGGGCCTTGGTCGAATGAAACCTGAAGTACCAAACGTTTTGCAAGCAGCTTCAACGGACCAGAACCTGTCATTGGTATCGCTTTAGGCTTTGCCAAACAAAGATTGAACACCTGGATGGCAAGAAGATTTATGGACTTCTGGCTGAATCTTCCAGAATTGGCTCACTCCAAGGCGTTTATTCACCCTTCGAAGCTTGATACCAAACAGTTGTTGGACTACAGTAGGGATGAACTACGTTTTTTAACAGGTCTTTTTACAGGTCACTGTCATTTGAATCATCATATGCAGAGACTCGGACTATCAGAAGACAGTGTGTGTCGCCTCTGTTTGGAAAATGATGAAACAGCAGAGCACATACTTTGTGCCTGCCCCGCTGGGGACCGAATCACGTTTTTAGAGTTCGACAGAGCCGTACTCTTACCATCTGACCTGAAAGACCACTCACCATACAAACTAATCGGCTTCGTTAAGAAGCTGGGTTTATTTAGTCGAGTGTGAATAGGTGTGAGCCACAATAAACCCTTGTGGGTTGCGGTGGAGGGTCGAATAGACCCACTCACTTTGAAAATAACCTAACCTAAACAAAGTTTTTGTCTGTGTACTGCGGCAGTCATCGTTAATGGTATGTGCGTTGACTGCGATGACGAAGTTTCAGCGAATGAGTCAGTCAAATATAGGACTAGTTTTGAAATATCTAATTTAGTTTCGAATAATTAATAGAACACTACTCCGTCGATGAAAGCTTCAATAGCTTATTTCGTAACTCAGACTTTTCCAATTCGCCATCCTTTTTTCGGGTTGCCCAATACTCGTTGAAGTATTTTGGCTAATTTGTAAGAAACATAAACCTTCCAGTTTTCGTCTTTATGAAGAAATTCTCTAAATTTTTGTTTCCAAATTAAATTAACGATTTATTCAGAAGGATACCTGTTGGGTACTTTCATCTTTTTCTTCGAAAACTTTTTTCTCGATGTCGTACCTTGCTATGCTTAAAGGGAACGTTACCAGTCTATGGGCAAGAAAAAAAACTCCCTGTCATTTTTTGTTGTGGAAAATAGTGGGAGCTGTCAGGAATATATCCTGAAAGTGTTAGTATTCTTCTTATATACATCGAACTCCAAACATGAGAAATCAAACATGAATATGGCTTTCAAAACGGCTCGTACACTTCAGAAAGTGTTGGACAACCTGAAAGACAGGATAACGGAAAAGAAAAAGTCGGGGATTAGCGAAATAAGGTGTGAAGATTTCGACGAAAAGAACGTGGGTCAAACTAAACGGACTGTAATAACGCGTTTCAGGGAACATGTTTGACATTATCAGTTTGGTACAACAGATAATATGAACTCGAGAGAAAAGAAAACAGTTTTTATACTCCTGAAGATGCAAATCAATAGAGTTGCCAAAACGGGATACTATTGAAAAATTGTTTGTGTTATAAATATTGAAAGATAGTTGCTCGTAAAAACATTCACAACAACCAAAATTTCCACAATAATTTTGATGAGAAGCATTTTCATCAGAATGTGGAGTTCAAATGTCGAAAGTTTGTTCATATACTTAGAAAATTGTCATCTTGCAGATATTGAAATTTGTGAATATATTCCAATTTAATGACATTGTGGCAAATATTGGAATACCAGCCCAGTCTATATATTCAAACAAAATTCTTCAAAAATGTTTGTAACTATTGTATGATGTTTCAGTTTCCATCAACTTTCAACAGTATTCCAATTTTGATTGTTAATTTGATAAATATATAAATACTTAATATTTGAATGGGTAGGGTGAAAAAAATACTTCACACACACACTATGTCACCTTCTGAGCGAGTTTATAATTAGCTCAGAAGATGACACAGTGTGTCGAAACAGATGTTAGTATTGAGTGTTGTATAGTGTAAATTGTGAAATATTATTTTCATCCTACCCATTCATTTAAAATGAATTTACACATATTAGAAGCCAAAACTGTGGAAAAATCAATATTTGCCTTACTTGTAGCAGAATATACTACACTTCCCTCTTCATCCACTTCAATACCAGATTTTTGTACAATATCTGATACAACCAACTGCCTCAATAGGGTTTGGTTAGTTTTAACAATATCGGTGAAACTAGCTGTGTTCTGGAACATTTGCTGTAGTCCAAACTAAAAACAAAACGGTTAATTTATTCAGTATCATCAATCAATAAATATTTGATACTCACTTTCTGCAGAGGCTCTGCTAGTTTTGCCAAAAAATTGAATTTGAATTTTGGAATGTGTACTTCCACTAAACTTTTATTCATTTCGTACAGAACTTCTGTTATTTTTGACAAACTGATTTTCCTAATCAAATCTGGTAGTCCTCTCAGAGAGTTTGGCAGAATGAAAAACATAGAGAAGGAACTTCCCTGAAAAATAACACAATTTCAGTATCTGCCCAAAGCATATACAGTGTCACACATGAAGTTCGCGACATATGGAAGTTTTTTATTGATAGATATAAGGATAATTTAACTCCGCAGTTAGTTTGTGCTTGATGAATGATTCAAATTTCATAATTTTGATGAATACGAGACAGAAAATACCCGCAATGGCCTGTTACCAGAAAAAGAAATAAATACACCTCCAGAAATTCGTCTTTGTTGTTGCAAAGTTCATCTAAATTTTTCATTTCATTTTTAAATTGATTCGAATTTTCAGTTTATGGACATTATGTCAAAATTCGAATAAACGTATTTCTCGTTATTCGTATTACACTCGTATTCGTTTTTTTAATAGATTTTTATCCAGTTTGATTATTTTTCTGACCAATAATTCAATTACAAACTAACCGGAAATATCATATTTTTCTGTAAACTAAACATAGACCTACAGTTTCAACTATTCAAAAGACTTTCGTTCTAGGGATTTGTACTAAACATGATATAAAATTTCGTGACTTTTAACATTACAAGACTAATGCAGCATGTCAGGAAGAAAACAGTTGGTACTCATCGAATCAAAATAAAAGTTTCCCTTAGTAGGGTTTTGAAACAAATTGTTAATTTTGTTTAATGTCAAGAATGTGCAATATAGAGATCTTGTTTGTATTTTCAATCACTATCATCCAGAAAGAAATATCCACTTCAGTACCGTAAGAAGGATATTGAAAACATTCAAAGAAACTGGCTCTGTGGACAATCGTTTCAAGAAACCACATAATCCAATAAAGTAAGAGAACAACTCAATGTTTGTTCGAGCATTGTTGAAAACGGGAAAACTAATATAAGGAGTATTAGTGAAGATACAGGAGTTGGCAGAGAAACTGTGAGAAGAATTTTGCACAAAAATAAATTCCATTCCTATGGGCCAAAGTTCATAGACACTCTTATAGAAAGAGAGTATTCTCGGTATTCGAGTACGATTTTCATTTTGATTCCAAGGTGAGAGGGAAAATGATATCGCATTTCCCTACTGGGTTGTATGGACAGACGAGGCAATTTTCATATAAACATGATGACAACGAAAGAAAAATACTTTCGAAATAATTACTTTTATATTAACATTGAATTATACGAAAAAACACTTTTTATCTAAAGTTTCGGATCAATCAGCCGTACTCTGTTCAGAAAAATGACCATTGATATTTTCCGATTCCGGAGGAGCCTGAAAATCAGCTACCAAGCCCTAGACATCAGACGCGCAAAGGAGGGTTACAAATAAGGCAGCAGGCGCGCGTGTTGATAAAAAAAATCCTTTTTTCAAATGAAGAAATACATGTAAAGTGAGTTTGAATTATATCAAGGAGATTACGTACAGCGCCATCTGCCCGCGAATAAATCAAGCAATAATGTCGATATAACAAGGAGGTTACGTACAACGCCATCTGCCCGCGAATAGATCAAGCAATAATTTCGATAATTCAACTACAGATCCCGAGCTGGAGAGTTACAGACATACATACAGGTGAAGCTAATAAAAACGTGTTAATTAATTATTAAAAATAGATATTTTACACTTGGTACTCACTTTGTAGGGCATTCTCAATATTTTAGCATCCAACGAATCAACCGATTTGAAGAAAAACTCATCTGTCGTAGACATATATGGAACTTTCACAGTAACCAGCTTTTCTTTTCCAAAATAATCGTTAGCATAATGAAAGTTCCCTTCGTAAGACTTTTCTTTAGGAAAGGGGTGTGTCCATGTACCTTTGAAGTAAACAGCGTTTGTTACCAACATTAATGTTTGTATGAGATCACCTGAAAAAAACTTACATTAGAATATGACAATCCATAGACAAACAAATTATTATAAATTTGTATTGATATTCATGCACTCGAAATAATTTTTTACGAATTCATTATTTATTTCATTTATTATAATTACAATTATTTTAATAACATTAGTACCACAGCTAAAACAGGTAAATCGGAAATGTTTATAGCAAATCAACTATTCAGTGGTTCAAATTGTAAAATCGGTCATTCAAGGATAAATACCGACCTATGAAGGTCGGAATACCGTAAAATACAGTAAAAAATGGAATTGTGAGTTAGTTTTTGTAATGCGCCTAAAAATACGGAAAAATCGAGAAAATGGAAACTGCTGAAAACGTAGACCTCCAAAATATCGATATACTCCTTTCATTGAATAAATATGATTATGATAACAATAATTTTAGATTTTGAAAATTAAATGATTTCTTGTTGCAAAGCTTTCAACTTTATTATATATATTTGTAGTCACTAACCTGGTGTGACCAACTGAGTAACTTTTCCATTCGTGAGTTGTTGGACCCAGAGATTGATTTTTATACTAGCTTCTTCAGTGTTGGAAAAATTTGTTGGTTTAATATCGGTCCTGAAATATTTTCTGGATATGTGTTCAAAATTGGGGTTTATTGATATTTGTTTATCCAGAAATATTGACGATCCCAAGTTCAGCAAATATTCGCTTCTACTTGATTCCTGAAACATACATTTATATGATTACGTTATTTATGAATTTGTATTGATTTTTCTGGCTATTTGACTGTGATGGAGGATTTTATACAGGTGTAGAAAGGGTAAATTCAATAATAATAGTAATAATTTTCACAGAGAAGAATTTTATGTAACTTGTCGAATTTGATAAGTTTGTCTAACAGAAAAAGAGCTAAGAATTTTACAGATATTTACTTCAACGTTTTGGAGGTGACAATCTACCTCCATATTCAAAATTGAAAACTAGATATATTTTGCTTTTCTCCCTTCAAAAGTTCTTCATTTCCAAAGTTTTTCATCATATGTTGGAGAATATTTGAAATATGAATTATGTCATTACACATTTTTATATCTGGTTCTTTCTGTACATCAGTTATTTTGGAAAACAAATGTATCATACTTAGCTATCCATCATAAAGGAAAACAGATTGGCAATTGGCAGAATCGCACCAGGCTAATATCAAAGAACACCTTGTACTACATCTGATGTAAAAAAAAATCAGTATTGATTTTGCCATCTTTTATATTTCAATGAAGTGCCCGTCATCGTTCAGCTCGCGCTCAGCCTATTTCCAAAAAGGCCGTACCTAAAAAGTGCGCAAATGAACTCGTACCAATAATTTTGCAAACTTTTCAACCTGTCTTACAAGAAAGTTAGTTTTTCTTCTTCCAAATAACCAGTCGCTTTGCTATCAGTGATATCAAAAATCATGGACAAAGCTGTAAACCACTATATTCTTAAATATTTGGAAAGCTTGCACATCTTGAGCGATCATCAATATTGCTTTCGGAAACAAAGATCAATAGGCGAACTTCTAATCGTATGTCAGTTTGGAATAACGCAATCGAGAGAACATGGAGAGTCAAGAGCTGTTGCGCTTGATATTTCTTAGGCCTTTGACCGTGTGTGGCATGAGGGTTTGCTGACCAAACTTTGATGCTGTTTCTTGTCGGATAATTTTTGTGCATAGCTCTCCAGCTGCCTAAAAGAACGTTCTCTGCAGGTGCAAGTAACCAGGTTCAATTCAATGCCACGAAAACCCAGGCATCGTTTTTCCCTAAAAAGGTAAATTTCTCCGAACCGGATATACTCGTATCAATGTCAGGACAGTCAATTCCGCTTTCTACTTCTGTTGGAGGTTAAAATGGACACCAATATGTCTTGACACAATCATGTCGCTGGAATTGCAAAAGCTGCTTCTCAAAAGCTTCCGACAAACATTTATGCAAGATACCCAACAGAGGTTAGTCTCGCAGTTGTTTCTCGTTCATTCAGCAGCTGAAATCAATCAATTTCACAAACTACGCCTAAACGATTTGATCTCCACAAACAAGTTTGTGGAGATGGAGGTGGTTTGTGAAATTACTATGGATCTTCATCAAGTAACGGCCGAATCAATCAGAAAAAGAAATCAATCAAGTAAATCACCTACACACCGCGGTTTCGAAGTGTTGTCTCCCATCAGTGCAGGAAAGATCCTACCCAGACCAAAACCCTAACAGAAATCTAAACTGAAGACTATATCGAGGAGAGATTCGTACAAGAAAATGAATATTTTGAACGATATAAACTGCAAGTGAATAGACTGCATGCTTAGAAGTGATTGGTATACACAACTATCATAGTAGAGACATCAGTGGCACGATTATCAAGGGGTTGTTCTCAGGGGGAGTTTGTTCCAACCGTTATGGAACCTTGTAATGGACGATCATACTGGATATACAATACTAGGCTATGCAGACGTTTTAGTCATCCCAGTCTAGGGATGACTAGTGATGGGAAGCATGCAACAGCCCCTGAATAGCATACATAGATGAGCCATCAAGAAGGTCAGAACATTAGCCCAATGAAATCGGCCATAGTAGCATTCACCAAGAGGACCATAACAGAGGAACTCCAAAACTTTAATTACTCACTTACTATGTCTCAGGCTTACCTAGAACTAACATCCAGAGAGAATGAAAAGAAATGCAGAAGTAGCAGTGATGCTGGCCATATACATCTATGGAAAGACATGAGGGGTAAAACCAAATATGATGTATTGCATTTACACTATGATGGAACTATCGCTATTAACAAACTGAGCATGTTTGGGAATAACGGGAGAAATGAAAACCATTCCAACAGCAGCATTGGAGACACTTTCACATTTTGTAATAATGGCGCTACAAGGGTGAGCCAGTTCAGGTTCGAAAACTCATCAAGTTTCATGTAATCGGCAAAACAAATCTATCGGAATATGTGGAGGAACGAACATCAAACATGTTCCCAGTCCACATGATTCCGAAATACATGTTCGACACAAATTTTCCTAAGAGAGTAGGATGTACAGTCATCCTGAGAACATACTTGGCCGAAACATCTGGTAGACGGGTCAAAAATTGAACATGTGACGGGAGCTGGAATTTAATGTGCGGAGAGAAATATTCATTTCAGTTACCCAATCGATTAGTATACGTCAGTCTTCCAGGCTACAGTATTACAGTGCGCAAGGAAGATACGTTTGAGGCATCAATGAAATGAGCTGATCAGACAGCCAGGTTAGACTTAGATTATGTTAGATTAGATTGTCGTGGAGCTGGCCCATGGCCTAATTCAATGCGACCTTTTCAGATCTATTGTGATGCTCCTTGGTTGTTAGAGTTCATTGTCTAGCAGAGTCTAGCTTATCCCTTTGATGAGACTCCATAGCCTTGACACTGACCCCTTTATATAGCTGGCAGCCTCTGGTTTCTCTTCCCCGCATCTTGCGTGTCTCAGCCTTGCTATCGCTTCGCATTCACAGAGCAAATGCAGTGCAGTTTCTTCCTCTTCTCGACAGAACCTGCATTGGGTTTCTTCTGTCAGACCCATGTTGCTCATATGTTTCCTGAGTCGGCTATGTCCCGTTAGTAGACCCACCACTACCCTTACAACCTTACGGTTGTGGTTTAGCAGGTCTTCCGTGAATCTTGGCGATGGTTTCTTCATGAACTCTTTCGCCTGCCTCATTCCTGGGAGCTTATTCCACCAATCTATCGATTCGGCTTGCATTTACGAATTTATAGAAGTTTTTATACATGCTTTCTCTACCCCGCAGAGTTCTGGGCCGAGCATAGCCTTGGATGCGACTTCACGGACTAGAACATCGGCCTCCTCATTGCCCTTGTGACCCTCATGTCCGGGTACCCAAGCTAGAGTGACCCTATTTTGGGTACTTAGCTCCTTGACTGCAGGATAGACTTGTTGCGCTGCGAGGTTTATCTGGAAATGCCATGATTGAGGAAACTGGCGGACAGGAAAAAATTGAGTATACACTGGATGCCAGAACACTTCTCTTATACAACATATAAGTTTGAAAATGTCCTTATAGGACGAAACTGCAGTAACGTTAGTTACAAATAAAAGTGGTAAAAAACATAGAAAGTTTAATTTCTCTTTTCTTCATTATGATTTCCTACCACGTAGTAGCGACTACATCCATCAATTAATTTATTAATTAATCTTCATCTTCATCACGAACGAGTCTCCGTGATCAGCTGTGATGGCGTCATGGCAACAGAATTCAGAGTGGGGACGGAGTGAAAGAGTAATGGATAGAGAAAAACTGAATAGAGAATAGAGGAATAGAAACTCGGAGAGGGAAATATAGGTATCACACAGGTGCACGCATTAAACTTTATCGACGAATTTTTGTTATTTCGACTTGCGGAAATCGTCAGATTATATATTTTTCGTTATCCTTGATTTATTTCCTTCAGAATAAAAAAAAAATTAGCTACGCTCGAGAATGTCGAAATGACGTTATTTTTTTACAACTTTGCTGCCCTCCCCATTCTTTACGTCACTCTCAAATTGACAGATTACTGGAATATATACTTTTTAGCAGGTAATTAACTCACCCTACATTAATCTGACCCGCTCGAGAATTAACTAATCTGATCCTTTATCCCACACAGGCGGCCTTATATATGGGGTTCATATTTGGTGGAGGTACTTAACCGAGTACAAGGTATCCCCCTGTATATTAATCTGCCGCGCTTTAGTAAATCCCGAAATCCCCGCTTGGTCTCTCCTATTATTATCTTTCAATGAAGTGAAACCAGATGTTACCGCTGCTTTAAATTCGGATCTGGATACCTTGATAAATGTATCTACAGCACATAATCTGAAGTTGAACGCAAGTAAGTCCAGTGCATTGTTTTTCAGACCGAAGCTCAAACGTAATCTAGCCAGTACTACTTCAATCGACATTGTTTTGGGTGGGGAAAAATTTCCATAAAAAATGAAACAAAAAACCTCGGACAATGAATTGAGGTTCACAAAACATGTCAATCAACTTTGCCGAGGTTCATATAATACACTCAAACAACTTTATCCAAGTAGACAATTCATGAGTTCCGCTCTGAAATTTCGTGTTTGTCAATCCCTCATATTATCAAAACTGGCTTACTGTGACTACATTTATGGACCCTCACTACTGAGTGTTGACAGTAGTCGACTTCAAAAAATACAGAACTATTGTATTAGACTTTCCTTTGGAATACGCAAATATGAGCACATTAGTCATAAATATCGGGAAAAGCGAAAACTGAAATTTCTAGATTACATCTATCAAATATGACTAATAAAGTACTGAAATATAGGACACCAACATATCTATATGACAAACTAATCAAAATAGTGAATCTCGGGGTTACTGGCAATTTAAAAACATAAAACCTCCATTTTTCAGCGATCTTTCACGTAAAATGCCTGTGAGTTCTATAATCAACTTCCGCATGATTACAGTACATATACTCTGATGAACTTCAAAAACAAAATTTGAATCCCTATTATCAGCTCAATATGATTAACAAATGTCGAACTCTGCATCTACAAAACGAATAATGAGCAGTCAATCACTTTATGAATTTAGGATACTAATTAATTTGATAGATCTTAGACAGCAAAATTATTCTACAATGTAATAGAATCTTACTCATCGTAGATATTATAGCTAAGATAATAAAAAAAATTGTAAATTAATATTGTATTTCCATGGTTAAGTTGAGAAACACCCTCAGGTGACACTTCGCCACTTTATTTTTGTTGAATACCTATTATTGTTATCTCTTTACATGTGTGTTCAAAGATGAATAAATACGACTTATTTTTTTTTCCCGTAGTGTGCGCTGGCCAGGCCCTAACCCCCGAAGCCCCGATACATTCGGGAGGGCGCGCCAGCATTATCAACCAATGACCACTCCCAACAACACCGTGGGGTAAGTGATCATTGGGTCCGAGAATCATGTGCCCTGAGCAATGCCATGTACCCTCTTCGCGCGGGCTCACTACTCTCGTAGCAATGCATAAGGCTATCTCTCAGCTCATGCGTCCACTCAAAGCGTCCGTTGTCGTTGTCAGGGTTGTCGTCGGTAGGCAAATCATCGTTATGGGCCCCACCACCTTGCCTCTGACCCCTCCGAGCGGGTCGATTGTGGGGGCCTCTTCCTTGATTATTGGGAACCAAGTGTTGGGTCCACCGGGTGGTTAGCCCTGTGGACCCACGGCCGGCATTGGAGGGAGAATAGAGTTCTCCTTCCCGGGTGCGCCTTGGCTGCCGGTCCGGTTTTGCACCAGTTGCTCAGGTAAGTGGTGTCGCAACTCTGCCCAATATTATTATTATTATTATTATAAACTTCCCTTACACTTAGATAACGTTCCCTGTTGAAGATTGCGATATATTAAATAAAGAACCAACCTGTAATCCAGCCAGTATATTACTAAAGTGTTCCTTGGAACTCGTTTTATTGATGAAATGCAAAACATGTTCGAATTCTTTGGCAGTGTTTGCAGTGGCACCCTGGTATAATAAAGCTAATATAACCTTGAGACTGATAGGTGATACTATAACATTTCTGTATTGCGACGAAAAGGTCTGAAAAAGATTGAAAAATTTCAGGAATGAATAAAAACAAATGGATTTAGTAACTTACCTTAAGCAACTGCCAGTCTAGAGTATCAGAAAATTCGAAACTAGGATAGTAGGAATCATCATTCTCTAAGTTTATATCAATTGCATTACAAGTCAAGGCCGTCAATAATACTGAAAAAAAGTTTTGATTTTATATCGATGATAATGACGAGTATCAATGAAATTTTAGACAAAACTGTTCGTTGTCGATGTTATCAAATCAAATATTTCAATAACATCAGATCACAAAAAAAGAAGTGTTTATATACAAGAAGAGTGTAGTCAGTACATAATGAGAACACAGGCATTTATACATATACAATATTAAAATATACCTTAATTTTATGATAACGTGTTCACATATAACACGTACATATACAAAGTGGCCCATTGAAAACAACCCAGAAAGGTTCACAACTTTGTATGTTGAGAAACAAAAAATCGAACTCGTTTGTTTTCAAGGAAGCATACATTTACACACTGATTCCCTCACTGTAATGTCAACCACGGGGGCGGCATTCACCCTTATTTTTCAAACAGAAGGGAGTATGTTGTGGTACATCGAAATGACATTAAATTCACTTTAAAATGACAATTCGTTCTTTGAATTTGAGCTACACGTCGTCCAGCAAACATTTCACTGGACCTTGTATTTAAAAATAGGTTTGTGACCAGACATAGACAATTCTACTTTATTATCAGTAGTTGTTATAAGTAGTTCGTTAGTTATGTATTATAATTTCTTATAATAGATTCGATAAAAATTTATTTATTATATTGCGTAAAGAGCGGAAATTTTTGAATTGTTTTATATCAATAATCAATGTGCAAGAGCTAAATGTTTTTTTTATTTTCACATAGGAAGCAATTAATCCTGCTGGATGGTTATCGATGGGTCATCCTGTATACACAAAAAGAGAAAGATTCAGAGATACCACCAACCCCTCTTCTCTGAATACTCTGACCCTGAATGAAACCTGTTCTGAACTGAAAATGATTTTAGTTCTATGTTTTGATATTAAAAGGTAGACAATTGATGAAGTTTAATACAATATATGAAGAATTTTTTCATATATAATATATTTTTTGAGCATATTTTCATATTTTCAACGCTGTTTTTATTTTTCTTTGCGTATATTAGACAATGTATGTTTAAAGAGCAGAACTGTCAGTATACCATGTTTTATAAAATATGATCTTCAAGATTTCATCCCACCTTAGGTGGAATATCTATCAAATGTATTGACTTTTATAATACAAAAATTGCATGAATCTGATTATTGGATTGTTTCAAAAGCTTTATCCGTTTTTATTGGAAATTTTGGGAAAAAATTGCAGCATCAATGTATAGAGTACAACATTCTCTATCAATCACTATAAATAACGACACTGTAGAATAAATATTTACTGATATATAGAGCTAGAGTTTATAAAGACATAATATTTCTATCTCGATTTCTATCTATCCACCTTGTGGAACTAACTTACCAATCCTAGCACTACTTTTTGCATTTTTTACAAATTCTTCATTCGATGTCAATTTTCCAAATATAGAATGTGAATACATTGAAATACAAAAGAAAACATAATCATAAGAACTAGGAATCCAGATAGAACAAGAGAAAAAATGCATAGTCATTTCATAGTTGAAAATTATGAAAGCAATGAAAAAAAACAAGATTGGGAGTTTCATAAGGTTCTATTTCGGTTTCAAGTTAATTTATAATTGATGTTACCGGTATGGGTAGAATTAAATTGATTGGTACATATTTTTCCTTTACAGATGATATTACAGAAAAATATAAGATGTGATATTAAACTAATGTAAAAATGAATAACTGGTATCAATTCGACTATTAAGTAATACAGAAAAACAATTTTAATATTATCGACATAGCACTTGTATACGAGTACAGACTGGGCCAAATTGGACACTTTTAAAGGGAAACTCCTGTTTTCAAAATAGATACACGGAAACTGATGGTTGTGTCTGCTGGTCAAATTTTATAAAAAACTTAATGGTGAAAACCCTATATCGATATCTATCATCATTTCTGAGTTACAGCATGTTTTTCGAAAATGTGCATTTTCGAAAAGTTGCTGTAACTTTTTTCTTGTCAAACATTTCTTGTTTCTATGAAAATCCAATGGTGTAAAAAACTTATTTTTACAAAATTTTTCAAATGAAATATCACTAGTTATTGATAGAGACACCCTGTATATCCCTGCATATTTCAATAGAGCTTAAAATACCTTGCTAAAAGTGTAGAACACTTGATGTTTCGCTAGAATCATCTTTTAAATACAGAGCTTTTAGGTTTTTTCATGTAGACTTAGTATAACGCACACTTTGATAAAGTGGCGATAAAACAGAAGCAAATCTTTACTGGTAGCTGTCACATTCTGATTTAAGCAGTAAAGACGCTCTACAATTAGTGGTTTCTGTTCAATTTTCAAACACATTCGCAATGAAATAGAAGAATTATGAAAAATGAAAAATGATAGTATTTTTTATATAAACCGGGGGAAATGCAGAAGCAGCCAGCAATTTGTATCACGAGAGGTATCCAGAGAAAAGACAAAACCTAACTGATAGTGGTCAGTTTCAAAATTATAATAATTAACTAGGGATAAGAAGTTGGAAGAAATAGTCATTTTAGGAGCTGTTGAAAATAATCCCAAAACATCAACGCGAAATTAGAAAATATCAAGAGGCCTACCAAGAACTAGCGTTAAGAGGATTTTAAAAAAATACAAAATCAAAATATACAGAACCAGAAGAATTCATCACCTCAGAACAGGAGATTTTGAACGCCGCATGGCTTTTTGCCAGTGGTTCTTGGAAAGTTGTAAACAAGTGCGTGATTTTTCGTCGAATTGTATTTGGACAAACGAAGCTTTTGTGGGCAGTGGCGGCATTTTCAATCGCTACAATTCATATACTTGGGCACAACAAAATCCTCATTCTATTGGGGAGCATAAAAGTCAAGGAAGATTTGGATTTAATGTGTGGGCACGTGTTTTCACAGGTAGAATTATTGGCCCGTTCGTTTATAATAGCACTCTCACATCTCAAAGGTATTTAGAAATTTTAAGGCAAATATTGAACCCCTTGTTGATGAATTGCTACCAATGAAGCTCAGAAAAATATATTTTCAACAAGATGGTGTTTTGTCTCACAACACTGCAATCGTCACCCATTTTTTGGCTGCAAATTTTGGTAATAATTGGATAGCCAACCAAGAACCCTATCGTTGGCCGGTTAGGTCACCGGACCTAACGCCTATGGACATTTACCTCTGAGAGAGGTTGAAAGATCTTATTTTCAAATTGCTGACCAATTTTAGATACGATTTTTTCAAGGACAAAACACAAGCACTACAGGAAAATTGTTAAGGCACTCTAAGAGCGGTGCCTGTGCGAAAGTAGTGATTCACATTGGATTAGGATCGCTGGAGATTAAATCCATTTGGAAAAACGTTCTCAAGAAGTTTATTCCACATAAACGCAGTTCTCCAAATGAAATAGTTTTTAAACAGTGAAGTTCGAGGTGTACTGAGCTGAACCTCAAAACGATGAGCAGTCCGTCGCGTATTTCTGATATGTTCCGCTCTTGGTGGAATAAAATGTGCCTAATCACTTGAACACTTCCCGTGAAAGTATAAAAGAGAGACAAATCTTCAACCTTTCTTCGATGTTCCAAACTATCAAGGTACTAAGTGTAAGCGGCAGTGATTCGAAGTTTTGCTTCTCTCACTCATATTGAACTAATTAATTCGGCAAAACACGTTCGGAGAAGGTATCGCCTATGTGTAGAAGAAGCTGGTGGACATTTCGAACACCTTCTCTGTAGAAATATATTTCTTTGCTTGTTCTTCATTATTATTATTATTGTTGAAGTTTCATTCATTAGTAGTAAAGTCTACATGAAAAAACCTGAAAGCTCTGTAATTCAAAAATGACTAGTAAAACACCAAGTGTGCTACATTTTTGGAAAAGTAATTTTAAGCTCTATTGAAATATGCACGAATATACAGGGTTGTCTTAGCATGTTTTTCGAAAATTCACACTTTCAAAAAACATGCTGTAACTCAGAAATGATGATAGACATCAATATGCGGTTTCCCACATTGACTGTGTCATAAAATTTGACCCTTCGACACAGCCATAAGTTTTCGTCTATCCAGTTTGAAAACAGGAGTTGCTTGGTAGCTAAACTTGAAACTGAAGTCGTACTTGTCGATGTTTTGTTCCTCACTTCATATTCGCGAAAGACAAGAAGTTTTTTGGGAGTTAACTGGTAATTCTCATCAAAAAATTATTTTTTCTCTGTCTATTACGGCCTAACAAATTGATTAGATCATCTATACATACGTAATCTTCGACAGTGAGTATGTATTTCATTTTAACGAAACACATGAGTTTTTGACATTCGAAATATTTTCAGTAGATTGCCGATAGTCCCCTCGAAAATTCATTAGAGTAGAGTATTTTTTTATGTTGAGCAGAATACTTTTATCGTATTGAAAAAAGTTTCGTCTTCGGGTAGGATTACGTTACAGACCGGAAGGATTTCAATCATCAGAAAAATTGTTTGGAAAGAAGTTGAGAAAGAAACACTATCTGACAGCACTGTATGCCTTCACTCCTCTATCCTACGTAAGATTTTCCCTTCGTCAGAAAATGTGGTTAACTGCACATCAGTTATAACTTGAGGGAGAAAGTATATTTCATTCATACATTACATACATTATTCGCATATTCCGTATATTATTCTTTGTCCATAAGAAATTGTTCTTTGGATAATAAGAATATCATCCTACTAATAAATGAAATAATCGATAAAAGTATAACTGATCCCTGCATTATCTCCTCAAATGATTGCTGTGAAATTATTTTCCGGCAAAGATCTACCTCAGAGTGTAAACCACGGTACTCAAAACAAAACTCTATGGCATTACTGAGAATTTTACAAGATTAGATTCCCAACAAAATGTGGTTATAACTGAAATTTGAAATATATTATTTTTTTGTGATTCATCATGAAAATCCTGATTAGTCGGTAGGTATTTTGCTCGCTCAGCGAAATTCAATGATTTTTTTTCCAAGAATTCTGAAAATTTGAACAAAATACTACGACAAATAACCTGATCGTTTATTAATGACTGGGGTCACGGTGATACAAATTGATTGAAGATATCTAGGAAACTTTGAAAAATATAGTCTCAGAATAATTGTATCAAATTCCAGATTTATTTCAGAATTACTGATTCACCAAGTTGGTATAATCAGAATTATTATAACAGTGTAAAAAAAGTTAATGAATCCAGACTTCTTCTCTACCTCAGTATCTTCTGCAATATCTTTTATATTACATATGTTCATTTTCTGTGTGATTCAGTTGAAATTAATTGATTGGATTTCATTCAATTGGTTTGTATAAAAAATGAAGTTGTCTGACTAACAATTATTAATTTCAAATATACATAATTTAGTTAACGATGACAAATTACAAGTTGTAACAAATCCCATTTTCATTTGTCTAAAAACTAATTTTAATAACAATTTTCATTCCAATTAATTCAAAAAATGCATTAAAATATCCTTTACTAATGAGGAGTTTTTCCCACACGTTTAGGGTACGCCTTCAGCAATAATTTCAATGATTACATGACTTTCATATCTGGTGGAAACAATTTCAGGGTATTCCGCCATCTCAAAATTCTATTACAATATTTCACTCAATCAAGAAAAAATATTTCAACTACATAATGGCTATCACAGGTCTCTCTTCCTGAAAATATATATCATTACATCGCGATTCACTTTTGATACAATTTATTTACGTCAGTAGCGTAGCTACTAAGGACTAGGCGGGGCAGTGCCCCGGGGCCCTCAAGCCCAGGGGGGCCTCGACCATACCAGAAAATATCAATCGAACTCAACTTTTGAGAATTTCTCCCATTTTCAAAATTTCCCCCATTTTCAAAATAAATATGACAGATAGTCACACGACTTTAATCATGGCAACTCAGTTACTTGATACATTAATAGCTCAATTAAATACACGATTTACTGGTATGAGTGCAGTTTGTCAAACATTCGATTTTCTAACACCAACATTTTTATTACATGTTGATGAAGCATTTTACTTCATAAAACCTTACCAGTTTTGATAGCAGTGGGGCCCCATTTTTTTATTGGCCCCAGGGCCCTAGGTTACCTAGCTACGCCACTGATTCACGTATTTTCATCGAAACCTATACGTATGTTCTATTCAAACCGAAAAAATGTTATTCCATTTCAAAAAATATTCGATCATCGCAATTTAGGTAGGTACTACCTACTACTTGTGCATATATGCATAGGTATTTCAAATATATCCTTTCATCATTTGACTTGCATGACTTTTGTTTTTTCCAGAAGTACCCAATATTTCATCAAGAAAGGTGAAAGAAAATCGGGATTTCCTTAGAAACGCTGAATCCATAAATAATGTTGTTTGTGTCCTTGGCATTGTTTTTATAATATTTCTTTTTTCGGGTTTACAAATTTCTATAATCTATTACTAGTAAAATACCTCTAAGCGGGGATAGTTTATTTAGTAAATTGAGAGGTGAATTTTTGTTTGATCCACATACAAAAAATTGATATTGTTCACATACCGTGTAAAATTTTTACTCATTAGCTCACTTGATGTCAATGATAAGTTTTTTTTTAACTTATCTATATATCTACAGTTTGGATCAGTTTCAAATAACTGCATTCAAAGCGACATTAATTGACAGATCATACATGAAATGCCAACGAATTGTATACCTACCGGGTAATTAGTGGAATTCAGTGACATTCTGATAAATTATAAATGTACATACCCACAGTAAACAGTAACATGATTACAAACACAACAATCCACTGAACGTTTGTGGTAAATTGATAAATCTTGAACCGCTTGTAATAAAAAAGATCGAATCCAATCCGTTTTCCGATGTTTCCAACACACTCACTCTAAACACGGCGATATGAACTTGAAAAATAGAATGGCAGCACTTTTATTAATTTTTTATCTTCAGTCTGATACACAATCGAACATCTTACTAGGAAATTGATGCGTCTCGGTATAACAATTTACCGCTAATTTTGTGTATAAACTAAGAGTCAAAACTAGACTTGTTCTGCTGACTACTACGTCACAGGGAAATCCATTTGTTAATGAATCTTCGCCAGCTAATTACTTTCATATAGGCACCCATTAATACAAAATCTTTGAAAACCGGTTCATTAAGCCAAATTCAATTGATTTATACATTCGAGTCTTTCAGTCTTCTAAAAATAGGTACCGTTTTACCGATGTTCAACCAATATGAATAGCTTTCGTGTTGTTAGACCATTCTCTTGAAGGATTTATTACAAAGATTACAGATTGTCCCAAATTACATTCAGTGAGTGTTATCATTTCATTTATTGACACTTTTGCAACATCTTTTTTTTTCAGGTGCCAAAGAAAGATTATAAATAATTATTAATTTTGTTTATGATCTCTTAGAATTTTATTCCTTTCTTTTGTCTCCATTATTATGTTAGCTTTTCCTCACATCTTCTATTATTGTTTTCCCAAGTTATTTAGTAATTATTATTTGTTATTTTGTTTGCTGCCTGTCTTTCCCTTTTCCAAATAGGTTAGTGTGTGTTCCACTTCACTTTGATTTTAGCGGTCACTTTGATTTTTCCAATTCTTCCCGCATAGTTTTTGAAACGTAGGTACAGATTCGAAATGCTGAAATGCAGGCACCTTTAGGTAGACTATCCACTACCTATATGACGTGTCAGAAATGTTCACCGACCTTATAAACCTTTTTTCAGTTTGAAATTAGTATAACTATATCTATAACAAGTGTGGTTTGTGTCCATATCACTGGCAAAAAAACTTTCCCTAAATTTTTCCATTGCTTTTTTGTTTCATTGGGGTTCTAATACCACCGAATAACACAAATGTAAACTGACTTACTAGAGGTATTTGACTTTCTCACCGTCTATGACCTTGAAAATATATTCGCGGCGCTTCTACGGTAAGAAGAACAAAATTATTAATTGGTCGGTCGGTAGCCAAGCGGTTCGGCTTGGGTGCTTTGTTCACTCACTCGAATTGACTGCCGTGTTGGTCGGTGGTTCAAGCCCTAGTGTGAACGATCGATCTTCACTTGCTATCGTCCAACCCGTGTTAGGAATCTCACGTTGAAAGGTAAGACCTCGTTAATCCTTAGCTCGCACAAGTTTCGACTTCTGAGGGTTGTCGTTCGTAGGGGTGCGACAGCTGGTTAACGGAAAAACAGATTTTTTTTTTAAAACATTGACTCAACTATTCGTTCATTATAACTGCAATAGGTAGGTAGTTCATCCATACAAAGTTCATACTAGCTGAGTTGAAAATTGGTTCAGTAGAAATTATTTACGAAATTGTAAGAGCTTGTCGATCTTTTTCGGTTTGCATAAATAAATGAACATTATGAATAATTTCTCGACCTTGACTGTGACTTGACTTGACTGTGTGATGTTTAGTGTTTCACCAATTACTTCAGTCCTAAAAAAATATATGTTACATCCCAAAACGAACGTCTTTCAGATGGCGGTCATTGATACATCATTAATAGGTCGTTAATTTATTGTTTCGTTGTATTATGGAAATAAAATATGTTCTCAACTTTGTAATTCATCAACAGACACGCAGATTTTCGTTGACTATGATTTTTGATGATTCGATATGAGACGTGTTTATGAAATTCAGTGTTTCACCAAAAACGTATAAACGATATCCAATAACAATTGTCATTAAAATGATGATCATATGTAGGTACATAATTTATACATCATTTCTGTGATCATCTCATTACCAAAGTAATTGTTTCGAACGCTTCTGATCTATCAGAAGACGTTCTACGAAAACCAAAAATCGTCATATGGCGGATAATCTGCAAATACAATGTTAACAGGGAAAACACTTTTGCACCTATCATGGTTGTCTATAATTGGTCATTGCAAATTGCAACTATGTAGTCACTAATGAAAAACATCTAGAGTACCTACCTAAAGTCACATATTAATAAATAAATACAGATAAAAAGCTCCATTCATTTCCTATAATGTTTCATTAGCCACCGCTGTGATCTCGGAACCTTTATTTTGGCTCAACCTCGGCAGTAGTTTTTTAAACAGCTTTTCATTCAGGTTGATTGTAAAATTCTTTCTAATAAGTATGAGTTAGCTATTGCTGGTTGAAAGGAAAAGCAATCATTGCCTTAATTTACGTGTGTAGATGGTGAATTCTGCTGTTTGTTATGTTAGGTTAGTATGTCTTGTGCTAAATAACCTTTCAATAAAAGCACTTATTAGTATTCCATTCCGTAGCGCAGATACATTGAAAAAACACCAAAAAGGATCAAAGAAACCATATAGATAATTCAGAATCATAGGTATATTTTATTCAATATGTACGCTTTCAGTTCCTAGGATTTTGAAAATCAACAAAAAAATGGAACCTTATTTCTTGTGTTTTCAGTAGTGTCGACAGAATATTGCAAATTATCAGTTCCTTTTCACCTATCGGTCATACAAAAATAAAGTTTCTGCTAATGAAACAATAGCCGTATTCGGGTTCCCCATTTGAATGGTTTTTGAACTATCAAATATAGTCGCACAGTTGAGACTTGGAAAGTTCTGCGCGAGTCCACTCTTAATAATCAGCTAGGTAACTATTTTAAACCTTCCTAGAATCGTTCTAGCTGTGTACTCAAATACGCGTAATATCAAAATCCTAGTTCTGTTACAATTCACTATGTTTTATTCTGCTCTTTATAATTTCATTGTTAGGAATTCTGAAAAATACATCAATGGAAAATTTCATTTCAGTTAGGTGTAGGAAATATAATTTCTTCTTGATTATATCCTACCAAACTGCATATAAATTCACCACGCTTTATGAGTGTATCAACGTGAAAATACCAGGAAAAATTATGAAAAACTGATTTTCAAAAATTTTATCAAAGTGTTCAAACACTATAGAAATACCACAAAACCAGTTTGTTTACAAGAGTTTTAAAATTATGCAACACGTAAAACCTCGTGACGTAGTTCTTGAAGGCACTTTCCATCCTTTTTTGTTAGCAGAAGTCAATATTTATACTCCAAAGCTCGACCCGTTTTATTTTATCTGTGATGTGCAGTAAACTCACAGAACTCATAAACTTATATCGTCACAAGGTTATGACTTCTGTGGCATTATTTTCAAATCAGGAGAGCTCTCACATCGAGAGAAAAACCCGATGTCTCTGTCTATTTTACTCTCAAAATAGAGAGAGAGACATTTAATTTCTCTGGTGTTCTCTCTATTTTTCTTTGAAAACAGAGAGAGTCATCTTCTCTTGATGTGATAGTTCACCTGATTTCACAATAAGGTTCCTGTGAATAAACTGATGAACTCTACTTCTTTAGAGTGTAGAGGGTAGTCTACCTTCTGAAATATTAAACATGACAACGCATACTCGGCCCTCTATTACTACATAGCCTAATCATGCCTTACAATTTACAATGTCATTGTCGAGAACCTAGAAATCTTCATGTGTGAAATATTTTCCTGTGATTAGCAGCATCTGGTGGCATGTTCTAGAACTTACATTTTTAGTTTGCGTATAGTGTCGGCATATCAGCAGTGAAAATATAGCTGCATCGACGTAATTTGGGAATTTAGAATTGTTAGTGAAGTGAACAGACACTCCCAAATAAATATTGAAAGAAAATAAAGTACACGGTTACAGAGAAGTCGAAAATAAAGTGAAGTTTATAGATGGGAAACGTAGAACGATGGGAAGGCACAAAGAAATCACGTTTGTTACATCCCTCATAGAAGGTTTCAAAATGGAGTAGATATTCATTTGTTGTTGTTCTTAGAAGGCAACGTGTGTGTTTTGTTTATAAATCTGCTGAACGCATATCGATTGGTCAGTGCAATAACTGTACTATTGTTCAAGAAGTGACAGGACTGCAAAAATTGTCTGCAGATATTGAAAGAAAAATAAAAGTCACTGGTACTGGATGCTGGATCTATGTTTGACCTTAAAATATTTTCATTCAGTCATCGATGTAAGGTAAGTTACTGAAATGCCTGGATAATAATTTATATCGTTCAAATTGTTGGAATATTTTGCATGTGAAAAAACAATAACAATACCTAGATTGTTATTGAAACGTCAAAAATATAGATGAGACCAGTCATTAAAAATAGTTTTATGAAAATACTATTTGAACTTTATTAGTCCCAAGAAACATGACGTTTATAGTTAGGACAATGTTAAAATAAAAAACTATAGAAATAACATAGCTTACTAGAGAAAATTCATAATATATCATCTATTTGAAATCCAACTGTTTGTGTTTCTTTGAACCATCTGCATTTTACTGTTTGATATTTGAAATTTCCTCATACATTGACTACTTCATTAAAACTACATCTTTGACCAAATTTACAGGGTGTATTGTAATTATGAACTGAATTGATTTTATTAATAAACTTGAAGTAAGTACTGAAGATTGTTATTTTTCATGATGTTAGGAATGAAAATGCATGTTTTGGATTGATAGATTTTCATATCAAGTAACTTTATGGGTTTTTTCATTTCTCATTTGAAATGAATCATATTTATTTTCATTTTGTAAAATATAGTCCTAATATGTGTAATTTCTCTTGATTCATAAGAGTTCCTGTTAACTAAAGATCCATATATAAAGGTGGATTTCCAGTGAAATTCAATTATCATACTTTTAAGATTTATTACTTACAACTCTCAACCAATGACATACAATTCAAGACTGGTGCATAAATTTACCTTAAGACTATTTTATTTAATTTGATTATTATCCAATCTGAATAAGAGGGCTGTAGGTATAACCAGAATTTATCTTAGATGTAAATGTAGTTGAAACATACGAAAGTTCAGTTTAAATGTAATGAAATCGCATAGTTTCAGTTTTGTTGTGGAATTAATTAGTATATTATAAGAAATATAGTTTGATCTGAAACATAACCTTTTCGGACACTGTACTTTAATCTTTTTTATTTTTCCTGTATAGATATACTGCTATATGTAATTCTAGTTAAATTTAATTATATACACTTTGCTATCTAAAGTGTCTTTGTGAAAAATTGTTTTGTTGGAATTACTTTGAGTAAATTGTATAATTAGAAGTGCTCAAAAGGATTCTTATGATATTTTGCTCAGGTTTTGTGATTTTTAAAAATATCTTTTGGACTATACATCATTTTTATTTTTTTTGCTATTTTATTAGTTTCATGAAGTACTTAAGTATGTTTTCTTTTGTCAAAATATTAAAAACTCCCACTTTTTTTGCAAACCTATATTAAACTTTCTGTCATTTTGTAACTATAAATGCAGTAAAAGCAGAGGTAGAAGCAATATATTTCGTATTTTTCAGTATATCTATCTATATACTGTAATCTTCAAAAATGACTCATTCAGTGTTTAAAGAACTCATGCAGGTACTTGCATTTCATCAGTTCGGATTTCCATTGTCTAATATGATATAAACGGATTTGAAATCCTTGAAAGAATCTGTAAAAAATTAAAAAAGATCAGCTGAAAAATAACAATTATATCAAGCAAAAAAACTGAAATTATAATGAAACAAAATACGAGCAACAACCAAAAACTCAAAAAAAATTGAACTATTAACACGAGATGAAAATTAAAAAAAAATATATTAACAAGAAATGAAAATTAAGATTCCAAACCAAGTTACTTCACGCCGTTTCGATTGTTAGTATCCACAATTGTCTTCGGGTGATAACTAACAGCTATCGTGACGTGGTGCATCAGAAGTTCTTGTCACATGGTCGAAAAGGAGTATTACCTTGAAGTTATGTGCCGCTTGTGAGAAGCAATACGAAGAAAACGTCCCGTATTGTGGAAAAACAATGCATAGCTTTTACATCACGATAGTGCACTCCAGTATCCCTGGAGAATATAACATGCACCTGCTCAATTTTTTGTGCAAAAACAACACCGTTATCATGCCTCAGCCGCCATATTCAACAGATTTTTCCCCTGAGACGTTTTCTATAAACAAGATCGAAAAGAGCTATGAAAAGACGGCGTTTTGATTGGGGCACAAGTGTATTATATATGAGGGGAACTACTTTGAAGGGGACGAAATAGATATTAATGGAAAAGTAAATATTTTTTGAAAAGAATGGAATTTTACCTTCCTTTTTAAGAGACCTTGTACTTTTCGAAGGTATATAGTATACCAAGTCAAATTACGGTCTATGTATCATAAAAACAGTACTATTGGTTACACCACCGTATAGAAGTAAACACGGTTTGAGGCAAATGATGTGTCAACTGTCAACATATTTTTAAAATTTGCCTTTTCCTCACTCGTCTCCGGTTAGTTTTTGGAGACCCCATGCAAAAATTCAGTTAGGAAAACCATGATAAAAGCAAACAACAGATTAGAAAGTAAAAGCATCTAAAGGTTGACTTTCGACTAAAAGAGGTCAGATGTCAATCTTGCTGAAGTGCCTATTAGTAAGTTGAGGAACGCTCCGAAGGAGCGGGGGTGGATGGACGAGATTTTTAAAATTAGAATGCTAATATTTCATTGAAACAAGTTTTCCAATTTTTTTTGAGTAACTAACTACCCCTCGCCCGATAAATCACAAACTATATGGAACTACAAAATGTGGGTGAAATGTATCAAGTTTTTTTTTGCGATAAAAATATATATTGAAGTAATAATGCGAAATCATTTTGTTTTCTGAGAAATCTTCCCCACCAATCCCTGCTGAGGCCTGACAAACTATGGAGAATATGTCTTCAGAATTCTTCTCCATACTAAAATATATTTCAAAAGCAGAATGCGGAACTACTTGATATAATTCACCACCAATTCTTTTCCATTAAAGCGATAATTTCAGTTTTATTTTTAACCCGTTGATATCAGGTCCGTGGATGGATTACGAGTTGAATAAAATAGCATTAATATTTTCATAATAAACTGTCAAAAAAAGCGAAAATTAGGGTTTTATAATTTTCCTCATGTATATGTGTGGATGTGGATAACCTCACGTCGGTCCGAATGACAGAGAATTCAAGACTTTTTGACTGCTACTCTCTAGTAGTTTTATAGGTCTTACATCTTTTAGAGTAGCCATTTCACATTTCTTCAGGATATTTCAGAAAATAACGCTTGCACGTGCAGTTATTTTACTGTTACGAAAACAGAGGCGGCGTCATAGTTGAATGAATTAAAATATATGAAAATTTATACCCTGTGAATAATCTGGAATGTTCGGGAACATTCTACGGTATTTGAATTGTATGGTTCAAAAGGCAATTATGATGTGCAAGAAAGGCTTATTTATTTGAATGGGATTAATACCGTATTGGACTCAAAAGATAGGCATATGCCATCGCGAACTTTTTGTAGATCAATTAAGAACAGTATGTGTTGAATTGTTTCGTTATATCCCAAAAGATTTAAGCAGCGTTTTTGATGAATGCTCCTCAAGACCAGCATCGCCCCGATAGTATCGTCATATTTCAACAAATTCTGTGTATTCCAGTTTCCATCTCCGATATCCGACGATTTAATTATTCCAGTATACGGAACATTAGACAGAGCCATGCCCAATTTGAGGTTGGAATTTATAATTGCGATATAAAATTGTGAAAACAACTCTTTGTTTAGTATAAAAGATTTGAACCACAATTAAAAAAAATATCGACGACTCACGTTTATGTAGCAATCTCTCTTCGATGCAATGACTATAATCCATTATTCAAATAAAAGATCTCGTTAATTAAATGCAGACTTTAACCTTTTTGTCTTCGTAAAAAAAAAAGATGCAATATAATAATGTATTTTATCGGGTATTTTATTAATGAGGCATGTGTAATCTTGTTGTATAATCAATAACAGTATTCAAATTCTCGTTACTTTTAAATCATGGGGGTAAATCAGAAATACTCACTCTCCATATTAGAATAGGATTGGAAAGAAGCTAAACCAGTGCCATACTTAATTGAACATCATTTGTAGTCCATGGAAAGGTTCCAGATCTGGCAGACGATTCTCAAAGTTTCAGTGGGCCAAATACGTTCATTTGTATGTTTGAGTTGTTTATTTCATCAGAGTTCACTCTGCCAAAATCTTCAGAAGTTCAACCTAGTCCTGGAAATTGTGTTTTATCATTATTTTTGTGAAAAAGATTTTCATTACGTCATGCATTATGAAGGAGGAGAGGAAATAAGTTTTGGCGCCGTTGACAGTGATGGCCTGGTCAACGTCGACGCCGATGACGCCGCCAGCCCAAAATCCACACCAAACAGTGTCTTTTTCGGCAACAATTGGACGCCCTTCAATCTCATGTGGATCGGTATCGTCCCAAATTCGACAATTTTATTTACTCACGAACCAATTCATCCAGAAATGGGCCTCATCCCTGAAGATGATTTTTCGATGAAAATTAGGTTCTATTGCCAACTGCTCCAGATCCCATTCAGCGAACATATGTCGTTGTTTATGGTCGTTTCCCTTCAGTTCCTGGGTCAGTTGAATTTTGTACGGGTGCAGGCCCAAGTTACGACGCAAAATTTGCCAAGTTCTGGTCTGCGAAAGGCCGACTTCTTGTGAGCTACGCGAGATCGACTGCCTCGGATTCTCCTGCCCACTCTCACAGACAGCGGCGATGTTTTCGGTATATCTTTCATTTCGTCGACGTACAGGTGTTGGTCGATCGTTCGCTGTACCAGCGGACTCAAATTTATCCACCACATTAGGAATAGTCCTCCCAGTAGAACGATTATGGCGATAGTGAAATGGGCGAAGCGTGCCGTACGTTGCCCGAATAGAACACCAATTTTGATAAAACAATTTTGTTATTTGCACCTTTTGTTAAATGATATATCGGTCTACTTATAGTGATTTGGCAAAACAGGGTTAATAAATAACAACTAATTTGACAGCTTCAACAACATGGCCGTTATCAGTTGTCGAAATTCGGAAGTCCCTGTTGGAAGACCCGATACTTTCAATTTCAAAATGGGATTTGCTCTGGCTAATGTTCCGA